GTGGCCTCCCACTGCCCCCTTGTCTGGGAATCGTGGGGAGCAGCCCCTCTTCGGAAGGTGAGGCTATGGCCTAGCTGGGCAGCCACCAGTAAAGGATGGGCAGCAGGCCCTGCAGCCTGGAGCCAGGTGCCTGGCCTCCATGCTCTCGGACCAGACTGCGCCTGCAGCCCCAGATTCTCAGCACGTGCGGGAGGCTATTTTTATTGTGTTCAGCTGACTGTCTTGGCTGCTTGGTTGTCTCTTGGCTGCTTGGTTGTCTCCCTGTGGTGATGGGTGGCTGCCCTGCTAGAGGGAGTCTGGGTCTCCTCCATTTTGAAGGCGCAGCTGGTGAGGGCAAGGAGGGAGCCCGGCGTCTTCAGGTGGAGCTCTGGAGGTTTTGTGCCTCCTTCTGGGGGCAGCCCAGCCCCCAGCTTGTCTTCCCATTGAGAGATGAAGTGCTTGTCTTTTCTCTCCACCTTGCCCAGGCCGACCATCTGACCCCGGGATAGCTTGCAGGGTGGGCAGAGGCAGGGATCTCCTTGAGAGAGGCATTCTCCCCGTGGTGTTACCAAGCTCTTCAGAAGGGGGAAGTGGAGGCTCCGTTCTGGTGGCCCTGCCAACTCTGTTGGCCTCCTATTTTCACAGATGCTCACTGCCTCCCCAGAGGTGAACTGAGAGGGCGGGAGAGAGGAAGATGGTGAAGCCAGGTGGCTCTGCGAGAGAAGAGGGGGTGGAGGGAGACGGAGAGACACCCTTTCCCTACATGGAATCCCAGTGGGGTGAAATCCCCTGTGGCCCCTCTCACCTGGGCACATCTTCTGGTCCAGGTGAGGACTGGACCGGCTGCCCCATCCACCCCCAATGGCCATCCGGCCCGCTTGGAGAAGGAGGTGGCTCTCCTGGGAATGAATGGCCGCGGTGATGGGTTCCAAAAACCCCAGCCAAGCCACAAGGGCTGGCAGGAGAGGGAAAACTCGCCAGCGGCCCGTTCAGCTGAATTATGGCAAACAACCGAGCCATTCAGTGGAAAGCCAGTCCGTTCAGCAGACCTTGGCAAGGTGGGCATTGCTTTATATTTTTCAGCTGTTTCGGCACCAGATCGCCCTGGCTGTGGTGAGGCCAAAATCCCATGGTGAGTTCACGTTTTCCTCCCTTACAGACGTCCCTGTCACCAGGAAATGTCACTAACCTACTTTCAGAGGCCCAGACCCAGGGCCAAAGGAGGCTGAGCTGTCACTGGAATCTTACAGCTCACCGCCTTCCCAAGGGTGTGGCGGAAAGCAATTAGGGCTGGGCCTGAGCATTCTCAGATAAATTGACACAGCCATACAAATACATATTAGGGGAGATATTTTCCTTTGACAAGGAGGCAGAGATAAGCGAGTGCTCTGCCTCCGCTGTGTAGTCTCCTCTCTCTCTGCCTCTCTCTCTCCTCCATTATTGTGCCCACTAAGGCGCCAGGCCCAGGGAGCTCGCCCAGGCCCTGCCTTCCCTTTCCTCACTCAATTCCAGTAGAAGTGGGACCCTGAGTGGCTGTCCCCAGGCGGTCTTGCAGAGACGCAAGGCCAGTTGGAACTCAGACTAGAGACTGCCATTCCCATTCCCCAGGAGCTGGGACCATTCGTTCGCCACAGGCGGCCCCCAGAAGGCATGCTTATTTCTGGCATTGCTGTCCCCACTTTAGCAGGGGAGGGGGGGCACCCAGCAGATTGGGGAGCACCCCTCCCTCTGTACCCTGTCTATGATTGGCCCATAATTACAGGTTTATTGCCTGTACAGCTATTGTGTAATGACATGTTTGCAAATGAATTTTTATGGCTCCTTCCATTAGCATATACAGTAGAGGACGGTTTAGTATTAATTACCACTGCTGTTCATGTAATCCCGGAGAATTAAAAACCAATAGAAGAATGACAACAGAAGAAACTGATAGTTTAGGGTCTTTTAAAAATAGTTTGTTTCCATTCCCACCCTACCCCCTAGGATCTGAGATTTTCTGAGCTTGTGAGGGGTTAGCGGGGGTGGGCGGCAGCTCACAAGGGACAGTCCCCCAAGCCCATCCCAGGTGCCCCCCACTTGGAGAAGGGCGCAGTTTATCCAGTGTGCTGGTGATAAGTGGGTGATAAATGAGTGGGGGCTGCAGGAGCCCAGGCCAAAGGGGCAGCTGCTCGTCCCTGATTCCACCATACCCAGACAGTGCCTCTCTTGCAAGGCCGGCGGCGGGCGCTGGGGGTGGGAGGCTGAGCGCGCCACCACACAGCCCCGGAAACAAAGGGCTGCCGCCGCCGAGGGCCCGGCGCGACCTCTGGGGTCAGCGCGGGGCGGAGCGGCCAGATGCTGGCGGCGGGCGCGGGCGGCCCCGAGCAGCCGGTGTCCTCCAGGGCAGCAGCCTCGGCGCCCTCCCGGGTGTCCGCGCGCGCTCGGTCGCCCGCCCGCGGCGGCGGGGAGGGGGCGCCAAGAGGGCGCAGCGGAAAACCCGGGCGATTAACCGCTGCTTCCCGCATCCCCGCCACCCCCACCCCCACCCCCGCCCGGCAGCCCGGCGGCGGAAAAGGCAGCCGCCTGCGCGCGGCGCCCACCGAGCCGTTGGCGGCGGTGGAGAGGAGCGCCACCCCTCCTAAGCTCCATGCGCTCCACCCAGCCCGCTTTTCTTAAGAAGATTCTGGCTGGGTAGGTGGTGTCAAAACGCCCGCCGGGTCCTCCACCTCCTCCTCTTTACCCTCAAGAACTCTCCTCTAGAGTATCATATTCGGCAGTTCATTTGCCATCTGAAGCCGCAGCGTTTAGCAGGGACCCCGGGGCTGCCGCTACGGACCCCTGATTTACGCAGTGGCTGGAGAGCGTTGGCAGGAACCCAAGCCAGGCGTGACCGCGGTGCCTCGCTGTGCGTACCTGCGCGCTCTTCTCTTTTCCTCAAACCCAGATGATTGTATCTGGGGTCAAAATGTGACCCTTTGAGTGTCACCGAGTCGCGATTTCGGCTGGTTTTGCCACCGAGGGGCCCTTCAGAAGGCAAAAGGGCTTGAAAATTGTCACACCAAGAGGCGGCTTTGCAGCCCATGCTGGATGGGGCCTGGGTAAATGGATTCTGTCTCTTTAAAATCGCTGGGGCTGGACAAGGAGCACACAGGATGTGGTTTGGCGGCGGGGTTCTTTCCCCTTCGATTTGGGGAATTATCACATGGGGCCTTCTTGAGCTGGTGTGAAAAAGAGGCAGCGTGAGGAGGAGAGATACAGGCTCCACGCTCGCTCACAACCGCTCTCTGTGCGGTTGATCGTTTTCTTAAACCAAATTAGCCAGGGCTCTCGTTACTATGGTGCAGCCGGGGCTCGCAGAATCCCAGTAATAGCATTTATTAGGTCTATTTGCCTGGAAGCATGCCTTCCTGGATCTGATAACGCATCGGTGCAGGAGAGTGTGGGAGATGGTATCAAGCATTTGATTACACTTGCAACAGGGATTTTTAAGAAGTAGAGTCGGGTGGGTGAGAGAAGCCGCTTGCCTGCAGAGCCCCCTCGGCCCGGCCGGCGTGTGCATTTCCGCAGTCTCGTGTCAGTTGCACAAAGGGCGGCCGAGCGCCCCCCGGGCACGGCGCGGGGATCCTCCTCCCGGGCCGGGCGCAAGTGCACTCCCCGCTCCCGCAGCTGTCAGTCGTGGGTGGGGTGGGAGGAAGAGAGGGCGGGCGCGCGGGCGGGCGGGCAGCCAGAGCGCGGAGTTGGGCAGCCGGAGGGGGGACCGGCGGCGCCCGCAGCAAGCAGCCCACTGTTTGCGAGCAGTCCCTGCTTTGGGGCCGAGGGAGCACCCCGCCTCCAGCAGCACCCTTCTCGGTGTACAGACGGGAGCCCGGCTCCGCGCCCCGACCCCCGTCCGCATGGATCCGCGGCCCGGCCCGGCGGCCGGGCTGGGGGAAGCTGGCAAGTGAAACTATTATTATCGCCCTGCGAAGCCTGGAGCTCTCGGAAGATGCCGCGTAGAGACGGAAGGAGCCCCCGCCGCCGCCGCCTGCAGCCGCCCGCCGCTGCGCCCCTACCCTTTCGCTTTCATTAGGGGAGACAAATCTGCTGTCAGGCAGCCAGCTTTCCAATTTACCGATAATGATTCTTGCATGAAAATTGATCGAGGGGCTCTCCACCGCTGTGCGCTCTCGCCTGCCTGCTCGGCTCCTGCCTCCTTCTGCCGGGCGCCGAGCCCCCGCGAGTTCTTTCTCCTCCTTCCCCCACCCCTTTTCTCTGAGTCAGTGGTGGGACGCCGGGACAGGGAGATAACAAAAAAAAAAAAAAAAAAAAAGGAGGGGGGGACTGGTGGCCAGAGGGGGAGGGGAGCCGGCTCCTCCGCCCGCTTTCTCCTGCCCGAGACTTGTTTGCAATCGCGGCCTCCTTTATTTACGAGAAGAAATCGCCCCCTCGGTACTTCTTGGCTGTTTGGGTATTAATTTTCTCCTCTCCCCTCTCCCGCTCGCCCCCTCCTCCTCTCCCCCACCCCGCCCCTCCTCACCCAGTAGCTAAGGGGAAACGAAAACAAAGCCGATTTCTCCTTGGCAACAAGAGATACCCCCTCCCGCCGCCCCCCCTTCCTTTTTCCTTCTGGTTCTGAACGTGAAACCCTGTTGGAAACAGGTCTGTTGACCCTCGCCCTTGACATTCAAATAACTGAAAGGAGGAAAGATTGCTACTCGCACGTCTTGGGGGCTGCTTTTTTTCCCCTCTCTCTCTTTCAAATGAGTAATCCCTGAAGATCTTACCCCCCCAATTTCATCACCCTCACCTCCCCCCTTTATTTTTCTCTCGCTCCTCGGCGCTCTCCCGCCCGCTTCCCTCCGCCTTCCCCCCCCCCCTCCATTTTTATTTGCATCTCAAGTCCGAAAGGCAGCAAATACACACGCGGCGAAGACACCGGGCAGCTGCGGAGGCCCCCGCCGCCCTTGGCCGTCAATTACCTCATTGTGGACCTGCGAGGGCCGAGGTGGCCCAAAGTGCCCGGGCGCTGGCCGGAGAGACAGCCTTTTGATCGTCTTGGGGGGGGGGGGGGACTGATTTTTTTTCTTCGCTCTCCAGATCAATTTTCTGCATTTATTTTATTGTTTTGGACATAATTGCGCGCCGTGGCTTGGCCGGTGCTTCTCGTTTCCTTGCTGGATTTTCACATTTTTTTCCCTTTTCCGTCCCTCTTTGGCCACTATGGAATTCTAATTTAAATCATGTTTGGATTGAAGCCGCCTCTGTATTACTTACCAGGTAAGCGAGCTGTGCGCCTCCTCGGGTCCCGCGCGGCGCCGGCGCGCCCCGAACCCCCGCCCCTCATGACCTGACCCCCTCCCGCGCCCGCAGTCGGGGTCGGAGCCGTGGGCCCGCGTGGCCCTCCGCTGCGGCCGAG